TATGTGCCACGCGACCCGACTGGTCTGTGGGCCACGCGACATACAATTAGTACCTCAGAAAAAAAAATCAAAAAAGGGGAAAAATCATAGGATTTGAGAAAAAAGTCAAGTCAAAATATTAAACCGAAACTTAAAACAAGCTAATTTGACAATAATAACAGTTTGGCCCAGTGGACTGGATTTTCAGATTCTACTGTGGCGCTTAACGTGTCAATGTGACATTTCAATATTCGCCATCTAACAGACTAGATAAAGCTAGCCGATGCTACGTGCTATTGAGCCTGACGATTGACTTTTATTTAAATAAACAATATATACATAATATACAATAAATAGTGAACATCTGGTACTAGTACCAAAATGGAAAAGATTAGCATAACATCTCGCACATCGCTGCTAAAGCGAGATCTGCACACCGCATTTGCCGACACGAAGGGGTTAGTAACGGCGTACAATGTAATATGCTAATCTCTTCCATTTTGGTACCCGAGTACAGCAAAAATAGCCAATTCTCAAGAACTCTTTTTCTTGTTCAAACGGTTCTCTTGTGCCTTCAAGATGGGATCGCGGATTGGCATATTTCTGCTTTTTCTGGGATCGACCAGTTCTGGGAGCAAGCAGTTCATGTAGAAGAATTTCAATTTCTCTTCCATTTCATTTTTCCAGAAAACGTCATCCTTTCGAATGACGTCTATTTTCAAACCATACGGGGTCCAAACACCAAGCACACAGTACTCTCTTTGTGCAACGTGTAGCTGCCCTTGAATTTGGTAATACCACTTATGCTTTTTATTTATTTCATCGTTTATCCAAAACGTAATTTTTTTGTTCAGAATGCCCTCTTCAGGGGCTATTTCTCTAGCAGACCATGGACATTTAATTTCTAGCAGACCTTTTTCGCCTATCAAACCATCTGGCGATGCTGCCAGAAATGGATGGGTCCTATCAATAAACAACCCGCAAGATTGTACTTCTGATTGCGAATATGATTTCTCTATTTCTGATTTTGCCACGCTTTCATGCTTTTTTCCATAGTCACATGCATTGCTAAAGAATTCGGTTGGGTATATTATGGCGTTTACTAGAGCTCTGCAACTTGTTGTATCTCTTCTTCTACAAACCTCACCAAACCGAGACGCAGTCAACCTCATTCTTCGATGAAAACGCCACAAATTGCAATCCTGAGATTTTGTGGCTTGCTCGATCTGGGAAATTTTGGAGTCGGTTTTTGCAAGTTTTTTCAAGAATTCTACCTTGGCAGCCTCTATATCGTCGTTGCTCATGTCAGGCTTCTCACAGAATTCCCCATAGGATGCGTTCTCTTTAGTATCACTATCTCTGATTTTAATTTTCCTTGGTTTCAGCTTCCTTTTCAGATTTTTGTGCGCTCTCCTTTCTTCAACTTTAGCAATCAAAGAGGTTGGACTGAAACTAGGGAGTAGCCGCTTTTGGATCACACAAACAGGTCGCTGTGTATTGTGGCTCACTACGGCTGCAGCACATCTTCCTTGGTAGGATCTCTTCTTGCAATAATTAATCCGTTTACCCCCAATGAATTTAGCTATGATTGAGTTAAACTGCTCTACAATACTATTATCGACGTCATGAAGTAAACTTGCTGCATTTTTAATCAGAATTGCCAGAAATGATATCAGCCTCTGGTGCAAATCTAAAAAAAAAGGGTATACACACCTGAATTTGAAGATCCATGCCATCTGTCTCTGTTAGAGAATGCATATGCGAAACCTTGCTGTCATTTTTAAGCTAAAATAACATATAAAATATAGTTATAATAGTAACTACGTATAGTCTAATTTATTGGCAAAATGAATGCTAAAATTCATAATTGTTTTGGTACCTACTTTTCTATCTGGAAAACGTTTTTTTTTTCCTGTGCGTATTTAAATGCGGCTTCTTCGAGACGCCACGTTTATTTCTCTTATTGTTCATTTTTGATACCTTGATAAGAAAGATACTCAACAATAACAGCACAACAATAACAACACAACAATAACAACACGATAATACAACAATACAATAACGGTAATAAGAGTAATAAGGGCTGAGTATACTATGCGCCAAAATAGGGAAACAGTCGTACGCTAGATCGTATATCCAAATCAAATCCGACTCTGTGCAATATGCAAATTCAACCAGGCACGCGAACAGCACACCTCTGCGTATTACTATCCTTTTCTAACGTAGAGCGCTTGCCTTGTCACAACGCCGTCCTACTAGCCTTTCCCTATCACCCCCCCGATTCCCCTCAGAAACTCTGCTTGACTGTGAGAGCGCCGTTAATACAGTTTTCCCATTTTTGCGCTGTTATCAATTCTAGTGCCTCTTTGAAAAGTCCTTTGAGGTCACAAAATTTAAAAGTTGTATTGTGCTTAGCTATATAATTTTTAACCTCTGCCCATATGAGCTCAATGGGATTGAGCTCGCAATGGTATGGAGGTAAACGGAGCACAGTTTTATTTTGACTTGCTGCCATTTCGTCAAAGGCGTATTTTTGATATTCCGCCTTGTGATCCTTGACAATTCTTAATAATTGTACTTTCAGCATTGCTTCTTCAAAGTTGATATTTTTCGAGCGGAGCCAATTTTGATCATCAACTTTCCTTGAAGCCGTTGTTGGGACCTTCTCCATTCTTCGGGAATGATAAGGCGCATTATCCAACACAATTACTGCGTTTTCCTCTAAGTTCGGTAAAATTTTTGAAAACCACTGTTCAAACGATTCGCCATTCATTTCCTCGTGGTAATCTCCAGTTTTCTTAGACTCAAAGCACCACAGACCGTCAACAACAAATCCATCCTCACTGCCAATATGGCAGATAATGAGCCTTTTCCCTTTACCTGGAAATCGAAGTACTAACTGGTGTAGATTTATTTCAATAAGAGAACCTTTTTCAAATGTTTTCATCACATTCAGCGAAAAAACATTGAGACATGAGTATCAGATTGCTATAATTGGGATTATTTAGTCATATTGAAGGAAAGAATATTGAACGTCGTATGATTACTCAGCGCTTCACAATTTAATTTAAAGTTATAAACCTTTAAAAGATGAATGATCAGGAACCTGAAATACGCGCAAATATTAATATTAACAAATTATAACTTTATAAAGCTTAAAGTATGAATTAAAATGATTAGAAATATTAGGAACGGTACACAATATAAAACTTAGTAACTTTTTTTAAGTTTATAATATTCGACATATTTTAAGATTATATTAAAAAATTATTGAAATATCGAAAACACATAAAAACATGGCTTAAAAAAGTTCTATCAAATGAAAATGACAATAAAACATCCACGCATTTTATCGAAAGTTATAAAAGTTTTGTTACTTGTAATATGTTTTATCTGCCCCCTGGAATTAATGTTTAGAACCTTGTTCCCAAGGTTTGAAAAACATCCGATTGTTGTCTATTACTCGTATTTACCTGCTGGATTTTTTAATCCGGTGGACAGTCCATCTAGAAAGGCCCTCCTGGATGAAGTTACAGAATCATCAACCCATACTTTACTTGTAGTGTGTCCTGCGTTTACCCACGTTTCATCAAGGTAATAAATCTTCCTGTTTTGATTTCTATATTTCCCAATTTTTGTTAAATAATCCCTCCTCCATAGCACAATTTCAGTAGTAAACTATTACGACCCCGTTTTTTCCATTTGAAATTTAAATGCTTCAGTAACGCATGGAAAGTTGATCGTTTGAAATTTGGCAACGTTGTATCTCCATTTGCTTCCTGCAGTACTGTATCTATAGTAGGTATTTCATTCCTAAAGAAGAATTCATGCACTTTCCTCCTAATCGCGATACTTTTGCGATGTTTACTGGTCATTGGCTCAGAAAAGGTGTGGTTTTTTTGTATTGTCTTAACACATTAAACACTGATGCGCGACACACCCCAACTTTGTGAGAAACCTTCACAACAATTTCTTTGATGGTTGATGCCTCGTTCTCCTCGCGCTCGATCTTATATATATTCAAAATGACCTCTTTCATTTCTGCACTCAGGTGTCTTTTTTTAGAGCGTTTCCTAGGTGGACTACAGGAGTTTACAACTTCATCGGCAGTATCTGTACTACTGGGCATTTTGCGCAAGCAGTTGATAACAATAACAATCAATAACAAGGTATAACAATAACAACGACAAACTCAACAACTTAATAAGATAACAAACGAAAACGTCCAAAGAAATATCAAATTGCAATGATGCACACGACATACATAACACGTCTGAACCTGAATGTGACTCTGCCTTGATACGACTGCTCTGCCGCTCGGCATAGGCATTTAATTGCGAATTGACCAATGAGGGCTCCTGTGTTACGTCGAGACGGCGGCGTTAGCGTGAAAATCACCCGAACCTTTTGTTTACATCCGGTCCATCTCTTATCTGAATATACTGTATATGCAATTTTTTCGACATCCCAGTGGTGATGGTCGAATTTATTTGAATCACCCGGTATAATTTTTAACGGATCATTTTTCTGAGTGTATCCAAATCGAAAGAGAGAGTTCTACAGCGCGGACTCCGTGGGACGTACTGCCTTCAGCAGGCCGATACGCCTATGTTCGTTTAATGAATACGACAAACAATATCAAGTAACAATCTACCAGCGACCTTGGTAACCAGGCAGATATGTCGGGTTTTTCTATTTATCTTTTCATTTAATAACGCTTCGACTTTCGGTTCGGTACGATTCGGACGCGCATGCCTCTATTTTCACTGTTTTTTGTGATAAGCCACGTGAGTCGAGCAGCCGATTGTTGCAATTTTTCCTCTCGGAGGATTACACAACCTACTATAATCGATACGAAAACACGAGATAGGCAGTCACAGTTCGCAATGATATCGCCAACAGGTAAATAGTGCAATGTGTGATGTGGTGTCGCTTACAAGCTTTCTGTGTGTTGGGGAACATGTTGTCCGTCCAAGTAACACCTTAAAAAGGTTCTGTTTTCATCGTAGAACCACTGAAGGATGTCGGAACCGCCCATAGAAGACACTAAGAAACAAGTTCCTAAGACACGTCCAAATAGTTTGTATTGGAGCAACGATAAGGAAGATATAGGCATCCAACGACTTCGAACTCAAAGAGACAGTATACTTTATGCAGGAAAGTACTCGGAAAGATACAAAGATTGCTTTAAACACGAACTGTCCGAGGATAAGTTTCCTCTAACACTGAAGTGTCGCGATACTATGGACATGTACAGAAAGGTAGCCAAAGGTGAAAAGATGGATCCAGCTACCACCAAGTTAGCAGCTGTATCGAAAAGCAACGCTACTAACGATCTCAATAAAAGAGCTAATACGCTTATAGGTTATAAACCGGTACCAGATGGTACACACAGGGTTTCGAACCCTACCTCTCCTGCTAGTAGTCCAAAGACTTCAAAGTGGGTGAAAAAATCTAAAGACGTTAATATCTATAACGTTACACCAACAGATGGGCCCATTTCACCAACTTTTGCCCACAGAGATCAACCAGTTGCATTAAGTAACATTTTAAATAATACCGATAGCACTTTAGACCATCTCCAAAACGTAGAAAGCATCATCAGCAAACTCCACGAGAAAGAAAAGAAAGATGAGAATTTGAAGAAGTTTGAGGAGTTACTGAAGAAGGTGAATGGTCCTAAAGCCACTACTGCACCGAGCAAACCGTCTACACCTCAGTTTTTGAAAGAAAAACTGCAAAAGGATGTGATTAAAAAGCAAGGAGGGACCAAGTCCGTGGATCAGTCCCAGGAGATGATTAAAGACCAAGAACATATCCTGAATCCAATGAAACATTGTAGTGAAGTGGAGGATTTGCAAGCGAGAGGTTTGAGTGATGAGAGTGAGTCGAATAGAGAACCTTTCAAAAGGGATGTTAAGGAGAGGAAAAGTATGGATCATGCTGCTATCAAGGAGAAGAAGAACGTCAATAATGGCAGTTTGAGTCGGACTGCGTCCGATGCTCAGAAATTGCCTGCGAAGAATTTCAAAAGGCGGGAAGCTATCAGCACTAGGGAACGGGATCGGAATAGAAAAGTAAGTTTTTCGTATTATTACTGAACATTGACATTCCGATATACGAGGTTTGTTCAAAAAGTATCGCGAACTTCATGTTTTTTCAAGAATTATTTATTTATTCATGAATATCTATTTGGTCCCCTTCAAAGTAATCCCTACCAGATATTATACGCTTGTGATAACGTCTTTTCATGGGCATCTTCAGTTTCGGGAACAAGAAAAAGTCACAAGGGGCCAGGTCTGGTGAATACGGTGGGTCAGGCATTATTGGAGGGTTGTTTTTGGCCAAAACTTCGCGCACAAGTAACGATGCAAAAGCCAATTTTTGTTCTTCCACAAATCCGGCGGTTTCTGGCGGATTGCTTCTCGCAAATTGCGCATTACTTGAAGGTAATATTCCTTATTGACCGCTCGGGTGTCCAGAACGCTGTTCGTCGCTCACATCTTCTCGGCCCTCTGAGAACATAATTATGCAACAGTCGACATTTGGAATTCTTTGATTCGTTTTTTGGAATAGACAAAAATCGGAGACAAGCTCATTGATAAGATTGTTGCAAAGATCTAAATAGTGTTAAGCATTATCACTGTAACATTGCCTTTGTCAGATCTTGTAACCATAAGTTCAGAATGTTGTTTTAGAAATGTTCTAGTTTTGTTTAAAAGGTTCTGATAAAAGGAATGCTGTGTCTTCATTAATATCGGCAACACTAAAATCAGCACATGCAGATAATGATTACTACATCAAAGACTCATTTGAGGTCTCTCGTCAGTTCAACAGATTGCCAATACCAGCCGATCACATTATCGCCAGTCTTGATGTGGTGTCGCTATTCAGCAATATCTATCTGGATGCATGTACAAGAACTATAAATAAACACTGGAATGAGATAAGTCAACACTGCAACATATCTCTAGAATCGTTCACCAACATTATAACATTCCTCTTTCATAACAATTATTTCTCTTTCAACAACAAAATATATTCTCAAACACATGGTTGTCCTATGGGATCTGTTCTATCACCAATTTTGCGAGAATATGTCATGGATGATCTGCTTGATACTGTTATTCCGACACTACCCTATAACCTCTTCTTCATAAAAAAATACGTAGATGACATTATCTTATGCCTCCCCTCCATAGGTCTGGATGGTATTGTCAGATAATTCAACAGCTATGACCCCTACATCCAATTTACCATTGAAAAAGAAGATGAGAACCTGTCTGTCCCCTTTCTAGACACAAGACTCATCCGCACCAACAACAATAGTTTATTGGTAGACTGGTACCAGAAACCTATGGCCTCAGGTCGGTTTCCCAATTTTAGGTCATACCATAAGCTAGGGATTAAAATCAACTTGGTGAAACAGATGAAAACAAGGATAATCAGCATCTCAGACAATACTTTCCACACCTCAAATTTACGTAAACTATCAAAACTGTTCATCAATAATGGTTATCCGAAGTGTCTGATTAACAAGATCTTATTTAGTTCACCTTCCAATATTTTGCCAAACTCTAATGATACAAGTAATAGTCGCACAACCCCTAATAACAGAACTGATAGAATTCCCAACAATAACATCAATTCAAACAGTACAAGCACCAACCCCAACTCCAGACCTGGTTTTGCTGTCCTACCCTATATCAAGGAACTGACCCCTAAGCTGATCAGATTGTGCAGTCCTTTGAACTTTCGAATTGCTTGCAAATCCGTCCTCACCATAAACTGCATTTTTTCAAAAATGAAAGACAGAGTCCCGCTGCTTGGCTTAACCAACACAGTCTACTCCATCAATTGCAACAACTGCAACCAAATATACATAGGTCAGACCTCCAGATCTCTTAAAGGAAGGTTTACATCACATAAAAGTGATTCTAGGCTTCATCCTGAAAGATGCGCTCTAGCATCTCATGTTAACACAACAGGGCACTCTATGAATTACACAAGTATCAAAGTTCTTGATAAAGAAAAACACCTATCCAAACGTTTATTCCTGTAAGTTTCCCACATTTTCATAAATAACAACTGTATCAACAAAAAGACAGATGTTAAGCAACTGAGTGTCATTTACTCATATTTGCTAAACTGCGAAAAATTGGAGAACTTACATATCTCCCCAAATTTTGACTCTTCACAACCATAAATGGAATCTGTTTCTTGGTCGATTCCACTAATAAACTTCATTCCACTCAAATTCTAATAATTTTCTCCTTACGATTTAATAATTGTTAATTTAATTTCCCATTAATTAAAATATAGTTAATTCAACTGCCTCTGGTCGGTTTAACAATTTCTTACATAACATTCTGAAAATCACATCATCTGAAATGATTTGGCAACGTGGCACACGCCCACAATTCGTTCCATCTCTCTACACAGACATTGACAACCTTCGGCCTTCTGTCAAAGGGTTCATCTCACTCATTATTCCATGACCACCATTTTGTGCAATCATCTAGTGGCTTCACGATGTAATGCTTTCATGTTCTAAAAATTTTTAATCTGTTTTTAATTTGTTCTTGTCTCACATTTTTTGTGTATTTTATATAATTTTGACCATTGTACCATCTATCCAGCTTTCAACATGTTACTGGGCGTTTCCCTCATCCTGAACGTAAACAACAATTAGTAACATCCTCACATACTACTGTAAGTTAAGTCAATTTGAATTCATTTTACACTATTGTTGCTACTGTTATCATTGTAATGGAAGCTCCTGATGATGATGGCAAAGTCCATTGAAAGCTAAAGAGAATAAAAAAAGTATAAAGAGTCCTCTTTGCATAAATTTTGTCGAAGTACCCAACAAAAGGCGGAAGCTTAATTTTTCACCTAACTGGTCTAGACGACAATGACCACGTCTCTATATATATATATATATATATATAATTTGCGATACTTTTTGAACAAACCTCGTACCTCTAGTGACGAAGATATTCAAAATTGCACTTTTTATACGTGCGATTCCTGCTTCTACTAGCGGTATGCATGATGAGTCATATAAGAGGATTTTGTGCGAAATAATCAACTTCTTTTTTCAAATTATATAAAATAACATTCTAATTAATAGTTTAAAGTACGTAGTTCAGATAAAAATTACGTGAAAGTTGTTATTTGTCAAAGATAATAATAAAAGCTTTTATATCGCTGTATTTGGTAACGAAATGAAATGACGCTTCTTAGAAAACTTTATAGGTATCGGTTTGAATTTTGCGTCTACTATGAGGGTAATTTGAGATTCTAATTTAGAATATGATTAAATAGTCGAAGTGGAAAATGGTTCCTGACAAATTGTCTGAAATTGTCTGCCGTGGATTTTATATGCATGCAGACCCTGTAAACCGTAAACCGTTAATACTACAATCTTGCTCAGGGTGATATAGAAGGCTGACAATTTGATGGACCATTTTCCACTTACAAGCTTAAGAAAATCAAAAAATGCGACTGAAAACTATCTATCAGGCCAACATCTCGTAGATGGATCAAAGCAGGATAAAATTAGCTATTTATGAGTTTCTTGATCAAGATCCAAAGAGACCATAGGGTCACGCTGGCGTACTTCGTGAATTCATTTCTTTGAATTATACAGGGTGACTTCGAAGTTGAGTCATTTATTTTAACAGTTAGCAGATCTGATCAAAAGAAATGTTTTTTTCCTTTACCATTTTTCTGGTAAAATTAAAGTAACAAAGTTATAGCCCTTTGGAAGTTTGAGTACCGCCCTGTCTCAATAATAATATTATGTGCTCGTGTTTGGCGACAACGGATATAATCCGCCTTATCGGTTCATCGCATCGGAAACAAAAAAGCGAAAGAATTTGGAACGATGTTTTTACAATTATTTCATTCAGTTGTATACACTATACAGTCAGTGTCAGACGGTAGTGAATAGTGGTTTCTGTTGCGTGGCTCAAACGAAATAAAAAATGGCACATGTTTATGCGGATCGGTGTCCCAATCGAGTGCAACCAACCCCTCGTGCCTTTGTTAATGTAGTACAACGGGCTCGTGAATCAGGTGACTTAAGACCTCACATATGGACGGCATGCCGGTGCTCCAAGACCTCACGATCAAATACAGGTCCGCACTGAAATACTTGTCGGGAGGATACTTTATAAAACAAGGTAACATTTTTTTAAATTTTTTTTTTATTTTTACACACATATTTTGGTTTATCTTCCTTCTACAATCATTATCTGAAAATTAATGACTCAACTTCAAAGTCACCCTGTACTTGCGCAACCTGCAACTGGCAAACCTTTCACATTATATGGTTTCCAAGACCAGATTTTATGAGAAACGTGTATACCAGTCTAGACCTAAGAGCCCCATCGACCTGTGTCTTTATTGATTTAAAGAAGGCATTTGATACAGTTGAATATAAAGAAATACTAGCTACTTTGGAGAATCTAAGATCCATACCAAGTAACGTACGGTATCCCACCGGTCCATCTTATTCAACCTAGATGATATTCTCAACCTACACACGCGGTTCACAGGTGAAGATGATTTCAAAGGCATCAAAAGCTTCCTCAATAGAAAAATATTTACAATTATGAAAAAAAACCTATATATGACTTGTTTATGCGATGATAGTAACTGTCCCACATTCATCAACATACATTTCAAATTACTACCTGAAGATGAACTAGTAGTTCTGTCCAACCGATTCGATATACAGGAATGGACAAAAGTATATAGACAAATTAATATTGTGCTGTATTTCTTTTTTAACTTGTTTTATTAACACACCAACCTGTATACATATGTAATTCGTTATAACATAATACTCACTTATACATAAATAAATTGATTAGACTCCTTTAAAAAATTAATTGAAAAATGACGGACAAGAATATATAGACATAGCAAAACAATTATAGAAAAAAGAAGCAAAGTTCATTGAATTATAGAAAACCAATCATGTTTGTGTTAATATTTTGTAGCATAACCATTATTATCAATCACCGCCTGGCATCGTCTCGGCATAGATTGTAGAATGTCCTCCTGTGGTATCTCATTCCAGGCAACCACCAAC